CAATGATTATTTTGTATTTTATATCCATTTGAACATTTTAAACAATAATTTCTTTCTGATTTATTACATTTATTATCAATTTCTTTATATTCTCCTTTTTCTTTAATATATCCTTCATTACATTGATAACAATATGTTTTATATCCTACAAAACAATTATCTGGTAATAATTGACATTCTTTATTTGAATTTAAATAATATCCTTTTTCATATTGAATACATTCTTTTGTTTCTTCTTTATAAATCAACATATTACAATTCTTATATCCAATACTATCTAATGTTATTCCTTTCATTCAAATAATCATTATTTGACTTTTCTTTAATGATGTTGTTTCTGAAAATTCTATATTATTAAAATAGTTAATGGTTTTGAAGAAGATATAATTACTGTTGAAATTGATTTATCATTATTTTCTACTTCTTTAATTGATGTTGTTCATTCATTTGATGTTCAATTGCTAAACTAAATTTGATTATTTGATATGGTTCTTTCATTCTATAAATTTTGAATGTTATTTGATTTGATGATTCATATTTTAACCATTGATTAGGATATGTATATACTGTATGGGTTTTTGATGAATCATAGTTGTTCATAATAATATAATTATTGTTATTAATGATATTCTATAGTTATCATTAAGTAAAGATAATAAAGTGTATACACAATAATAACAAATGAATTGAAATCATCTTCATCTTTTTTTGTAAATATATGTAAACATTTTGACATTGGTATATGATCGATTTTAATATTATTGTTATAGAAATAATGAACCGTTATACAAAACTTTTGAGTTAAAATTCATTTTAAGTAATGATGAGATGAAAGTTCCTTCATATAATATATTAAATACTTAATACCAGAATTAGGAGTTATTCAAAATAAACTGTATGATAAAGAGAAACAATTTGTTAAATTAGTAAATGGTAATATGATTATCATCTCCTGAACTATAATGTATCAGCACTCCAGTTATTTTTGATGGACTACTTCTTTTTTACAAAATCAAAGTTAATGAAATTAAATGATTGGAGTTTTTAATCAAATGAGGTTCAAAGTGTTTTCAATACTTTTAAAAAATAAATAAGAACATCAACTAGTTACTTTCTGTTCTAATTCTATTGTAACTTTATTTACTTTGAAAATTGTGTCAGTGAACCAAAAAAATGTCATTATTTACAATTTAAATCTAATAATCACTGACCCATATTTAGAACAGTCAAATAAATAATTATATATAGAATAAGAGTCTCTACTACAACCAGAACTTGTAATATAAATTATTGCATTATTTTCTGTTTCTTTTTGGTACAATTTTCTCCAAAACAAAAAGAAATAAAATAAAACAATAAAAAATGATTATCATAAATGATAATTCTAGTTCTAGTACTTAAGAAGTTAATGAGGTATTGTCTACTTGATTTAAGGGTTATTCCATACTTTGTGCTCCACACTTAGAACATTCTTTTAAATAATTATGTCTTTTTTTCATTCAATGTTATTTCTAATTGTCCTATTACAGAAACATTAAAAATTTAAACAACTAAGAGTTCAAACTTAATAAACTCTTTCCGAGATTATGCATTTTCTTTTTTAATATTATTTTTATTTTTATATTCTAAATTCATTGGTTAGACTCTTATACAACTTTGAGTTTGTGTTCAAAAACAAATAATAGTATTTATAAAAAAATTGATGTAATTTTATTGTCTTAATTTAAAATAAATTAATGTTTTTCTTGTTATCATTACAAAAGTTCATATTATATAATAAAACAAAGCAATAAAAATGAAATTATACAAAAATGTCTATACAACAAAC